GGCTGGTATTTACTCCCTTTGATCAATTTCCCATGAGGCAATTTCTTGAGCTTTTTTCCTCAAATGATTGGAGTCATTTTATGCAACTACTGGGTGGCTTGCTAAGTTACCTTAGAGGGCTAAGTGCCAAACATGTGGTCTTGGATTGAAATCACAAAGACCAGACTGGATAATGATGGCTGGCTTCCTTCCCTAAAGCATACTGCTAAACCAGTTAGATCTTTAAAGCATGCTGGTAGCTTAAACAGTCAATTTAGTGATGCCAGTTATTTTATTTTTAGAAGAATCCCCCCAGCAAAATATGGTTTACTGAGCTGTATCTCAATTGCGTCAGGACTGGTGTTAACCATGCAAAATCCTTATACAGAAGTGAAATACAGCCAAACAAATCCTCTTAAATATAGCTATGGATAGGCATCGCAAAACATGAAGCATCGCCTACAAAACATAGAACATACAACCGTACAGCACAGGAACAGACCCTTCGGCCCACGATGTTGTGCTGAACATGCCGCCAAATTAAACTAATCCCTTCTGCCTGCCCTTAGTCCATATCCCTCCATTTCTTGCATATTCATGTGCTTATCTAAAAGTCCCTTAAACGCCTCTATAGTATTTGCCTCCATGACCATGCCTGGCAGCGCTTTCCAGACTCCTACCACTCTCTGTGTAAAAAACTTGCCCCTCACATCTCCTTTGAACATTCCCCCTCTCACCTTAAATGCATGCCCCCTAGTATTAGACGTTGTAACTCTGGGAAATATATTCTGACCGTCAACCCTGTTTGTGCACCTCATAATTTTATAGACTTCTATCAAGTCTCCCCTCAGCCTCCACTGCTTCGGGGAGAACAACCTGAGTTTTTCTAATCTCTCCTTATAGTTCATACCCTCTAATCCAAGTAGCATCCTGGTAAACTCCATCTACATCCTCTCCAAAGCCTTCACATCCTTCCTGTGGCTATCAGAAGTGAACACAATGACCTCTCCTAATTAAGCCATGTAGCTCTGACAATCTAAAAGCCTTGAACCAGAGCCTATGTGGAAGTGTGATGAGGGAAGATTAAATGGCACAGATGAAGATGATTCCAAATTCTTTTTGAAGAAACATAATTCTAATCCGGAACGGACACGGTGAGATTTAAACTCTTATTCTATAGATAATTTATCCTCCTCTTTATACAATTAATCCAGTAACAAATGCAATGCTACCCTATCCAATAATTCTTATGGCCACACATATATGTCAATAAGGTTGCCAGCTAACATGAAGAAAAGGCAAAATGAAAATTATTCAATGATCCATTCTCTACCCTTTATTTCTATTTTTCATGCAATGTTACATTCACAGCAGTAACTACTGGACTTTGGATCTCCCACAGCCTTACTCATGTTGCCCTGAAGAATGCCGTATTATACAAGTAGGCTGTGCCTTCATTTTTCCAATGCTCAAAGCCTTGAAATTCCATCCCCAAACCTCAGCTTCTCTATAGTTCTTTGAGAGCTGTAACCTGTAGGTTGCCTTTCACAGACGGCAGACTGCTCACACCCTCAAGGGAAGAAAATTGTGCAGGAAAGCTGTACTTCACTGTGGGTGAACTGAATGGTTCGACAGTGAGACTTCTGCCTCTCTGAAAGGAAATCACACTGTCAGAAGCTACCTGTTAATCCGTTTGTCCAACAGATCCATCATTTCAAGCAGCACCAGGCCTCGGTGGTGGACACTGCTAGGATTGCAAGACGAAGGCTGAAGAGGATCATGGCTGCCCCAGAAAGATAGGTCTCTGGGTTTTAGGTTGGAGAGGGATACTAGAACCCACAGAGAGGTGATTGAAGGCTAGGTTTCTGTTAGGTTGGTGGCAAGGAAAGTGGGCTGATATATATGAGAATGCCCTCTGGTGCATAGAAGCAATCCATTCTTCCCAGCTTTTCTCACACAGGCCATTAAAAACAGCACGCCCACTCCTGTCTGGTCAATCAGCTTGCTGAAGTAAGAGTAAATTATTTAATTATGGCAGGTGGGCCTTTGATTTTTGTGCCTGCCCATCTAGCAAATTATGTCGTGTGTAGAAAGCTGGTGGACTAGCCAACCTATATATTTTACATGTCCCTATCAACAATCACCCCCACCCCCAAAACCATACCCAGTGGGAACACCCCATAAAAATCTAGCCCTACATCTTTGAACAAGTGGTCATGTGGTCTACCTCCTCATGGAACCCAGTGTCAAATTTTGTTTGATATTGCTTGTAAAGCACCTTGGGATGTTTTATTATTTTAAAGGTGGTCAATTAATGCAAATTATTGTTATCAAAAATGGCCAGTAGGTGAAATTTTATGGGGAATTTACTACATGAAATATGGGTGGAATTAGGCACAACAGTCACAGAGATGTGCACTGCACGTAAAGCTTTTAATGGTAAAGATAATTGAATTAAATAATAAAAAGCACATCTTCAGTGTTAGAGAGAGCAGCTACAGCATTAAGTATCAGTGACTGGGAAGGATCCAGCATGTAGCAACGGTTAAGCCACATTAGCTGATGTGACCCAAATGTTGTGATAGCTGCAATTCACCCAGTGTTCTTTGGTTAGGAAAAGGAAATCAATCCTCCTCTAGTTAGCTATTCAGGAAATGTGACTGTAAAAAGGATTTCGGTAGTGACAGGATCAGGCTTCACTCTAAAGCTGCCTATTGTAGAATGATTGACAGTTAATGTCTCAGAACATACATGATAGTAATCATGTAGGTAACATGTTTGAGAACTGCTACTCACACTTCAGTATCCAAACTTAAGTCACAATCTTCCAGAAAAGGGAGTTTACCAATGCTCAGAATTTATGCCATGATGTCAAAAAAGCTGGGAAGTTCCCTGCTCTCTGTTAAATCTCTGATACTGACAGACATTTGAATTCAGCATCCGAAATGAAAAAGAGAAAAATCAGCCAGGATTCCTGACTGCTGCCCATTAACGCTACTGCAATTACATATGCATTGACAGGGCTGGGCATAATTTGGTACCATTTGATGTTAGTAACCTACAGCCACTGCTGCGAGTTAAATAATGATCATATGAACAAGATATCCAAAGGTGTCTAGTGCCTACTGATAATACCCCAGTACTGTATCAAAACCTTCCGAAGAGGAAGAAGGGTGTGTAAAATGGCAGGAAGGACCAGGAAATAATAAAGGAGGTGGGTGTGAGGAAGCTGTACTGCTTTATATTCACTAAATGGGGTAGAAGACAAGCCAGTGAGGTGTTGTGCATTTCATAATAATCTGGCTGAAATATGGAGAAAGATTTCTTTTGTTCACCGCGTCCTACACAAGCTTGACCAAGATGAAAGTAACACATCTGGAATTTATCAACTACTGTGCACTTTATACCTCACGTCCACATTGTTGTAATATTTGCATACACCGGTAATGGAGGCTTCACAATGAAACTAAACATTACTGTCATAGTTTTCAATACATATGTCTTCACTTCTGCACATGTATGGCCCACTACTGTTAGGGTAGTAGGTTAACAAATACATCTACACATGAGCTCTGATTGATTTCATTGAATTCCCTTCATTTCCAGTTGCAGATTGTTGTAACTGCCATCCGATATGTGCTGCTAAACTCATCCAGAGGATCTGAATGAGATGAAACCATAAACGGAGTGTTTGATTTCATCTGTTTACAGATTTATCAGTTCCCAGCATAACCACAGAGTGAATAGCCAAGGTCTTTTTCCCAGGGTGGGGGAGTCCAAAACTAGAGGGCACAGGTTTAAGGGGAGAGTTAAAAGCGACCTAGGGGGCAACTTTTTCACCAGAGGGTGGTGTGTGTATGGAATGAGCTGTCAGAAGAAGTGGTGGAAGCTGGTACAATTACAACATTTAAAAGGCATCTGGATGGACACATGAATAGAAAGGGTTTAGGGGAATATGGGCCAAATGTTGGCAAATGGGACCAGATTTATTTAGGATAACGGGTAGGCGAGGACGATTTGGACCTAAGGGTCTGTTTCCCTGCTGTGTAACTCGATGAGTCTAATCGCGGAGAGGTACTTACTCCGATAGGACTTGGTGTGAGATCTCCCGCACCATCTCTCTTTGCCCTCGATTTGGCATGGCATGTTGGAGATAAAACAACGGCACAGGGGAGATAGTTATAAATTCAATTTACAAGTCTGTGGATTGAAGTCCGAAAGGATTGAGGAGGGTTAATTCAACCTGAACAACTCGCTGCAGGAACGGGTCTCCGATACCTTCAAGGATTTGAAATTTGCAAAAACTCAACGCACTAGCTCTCAAACTATGGTGGGGGGGCGGGTGGAGGTGAGGACAGAGGCAAAAAAAAACCCAGCAAACTTTCACTGCGGTGTTCAATAATTCCACCAAAGCAACTTTTAACCGATAATATCCAAATAGCTGCTCCAGCGAACGGCGCCGTGTTTGCTTCGTAAAGTGACAACAAAAAGCCATTCAATCCGGTTTGAGCTTCGGCAGCAATTCACCGCATTTTATACAAATGCTGACAATGAAGAAAGATAGAGGGCTGAACAGTCTAAAAGCTCTCCACGAGAGTTAATCGTTTCGGGGACGGGTTGGAAACTGCTAGCCAGCACCGTGTGATGTACATACAGTGAATGCACTAATTTTTAAAATATATATATATATCATTGCATATTTAAATCGTAGGATGCATCTAATATAAATACAATTTTGACCTGCAGTTTTATTTCCCTGATAAATGCAGAATTTGCTCAGTTTATCTAATCCCAACACTGCGGGTGCGGGAATTGATCCCTCAAACCGCAGCTTTAGACTCAGTTCCCGTGCGGACAGACAGCACTCAGCACACACAACACAATCGCCAAAGCAAAACAATTCACCCCTCACCCAGAGCCAGGAAAGGTCAGGCATCAGCAGGGGCGGCGGAAGGGACGCTTCAGCCCCTGACGAAGGAAGGTGCACGAGTTTGCAGAGCAACAGGCAGCGCACTCCTTACCAGCAGCAAACACGCTGTCTTTACCTCTCCTCCCGGGCACGAGGGGGGCTGGGGGTGGGGGAGCCTCGCGCAGCCCGTCTCCTGGCAACGGCTCGGGGCCGCGCGCCACTGAAGCCCCCGGGTTTGGAACGTGTCAGCAAGAAAACCCCCAGACGGCACGTTTCCGCCAACACGCACAGCTCCTCTCCATGGACCCAACTCGCGATGACATCTGCCGGAGGAGGGCACAGGCCTCATGAATCCCGGAACTTGGAGAATTCGCTGCAGTCACTCGCATATCCCCGGTGAAGCTCCCGCCTCAGCTGGCTCCAGCCTTCCTCCGTCCCTCTCACAGAGGGTGGGGGAGCTTCACCCCAAACAACATGCAGCAGATTGCAGCAACCAGCCTTAAAGAGACCGTTTTTAAAAATGTATATATAGCAATAAAAAAAATGTACCCTGACCAGCACCCAACCAATTGCCATTCACCAAACTAAAAGCATTACTTCATAGTCAAACTTAACCATGTGTGTTATCGAATTCTTTTATTACATTATTGGGCCATCGCAAGGTAAGAGAGCACAAACTCTTCTCGGTCATTCCCAACCTCTCATTTCCCTCTCCGTCCCCAGCATCTTTCCATGCAATTAGGAGTTGGAACACTTTACCTCCTGCCTACTCCCCGTTCAAGACCTTCCGTGTGAAGCAGCAATTTATTTGTACATCTTTCAATCTAATCTACAACATTCTTTGCTCGAGTGCAAATTCCTCTAAGTAGTACAAAGGCAAACTGGGGGACTGCAGTTCACATCCGCTCAGTCCCCAAACGTGACTCTGACTTTCTCAACACTTGCTATTTTTAACGCAATATCTTGTTATCGTGCCCTAGGTCCGCAGCAGCGTTCTGGTGAAACTCCATGCGAACTGAAGGAACGGCACCTTGTTTTCCATTTAGGCACTTTACAGCCTAGGTCTCAATATTGACATCAATAACTTAAGACCATTAACTCTGTGCTCCATTTTTCCTCAATTTCCCCTAATGTTCTCGTTTTCTGAATTTTGATTTCAGCAGAACTGACCTTAGTTTTGTTAATAACGCATACTATTAACACCCCCACTGGAGCTACAACTATTAGCATTCCCTTTGCCTTTTGCTCTGTGACACATATGTTCTCTCATCTCATTGCCTCCTGTCACCCCATCTTTTACTAAGAAATGTAAGGCTTTGCCACCATCCCACCCTTTGCTAAGAAAATCTACTGAGAGACATTGGAGCTCATTGAAATTCTGGCAGTTCCAGCTTAGTGAAGCTAATTATCTGCAAACAAGCTGGATTGTATTTGTGAGTTCATGCTAAAGTACAACCTTCAGAATGCAGTCTCACAAGTGGAGGTTGAATGCTAATAATGTGAAGTCATTGAGGCAGTCTGTGATGGTATGACTTTTGAGGGAATTCCAAGGCTACATCTTTGAAGTAAAGAATGGAAATTCATTGGAAAGGTGGCAAACTTTTTATTTATGATCCTCACAGTGATCACTGTTATCTGGGGCTTGGGTTTCTGAGAAAGTTGTGTGATGATCTAGTTGATGTTCGGCATGGGGTGTTCAACCAATTCTGAATGTTATTATAAATTTTAACTATAACATAGATTGTTTACTTTTCAAACTGTAAAAAATACATTTTTTGTTGAAAACTATGGTATCTTCTGGTTATATTCTCTAACAATGTGATGTGTAAGGGCTCTTGCACCCTGGAGCAACTTTGTGCTGAAGTCATTGAGCTGCTTCTCTCAGGGCATGTATAGCATAGTATGGTGGCATTAGTTATATAGATTGATGATGGATGATTGATAGAGTTAAAGGAACCGTCTCTTAATAATGTAGTGATAAATTCTGAACATGGTATATCTCAGATTGCCATGTATATTTGTGTATAGTGTAAACAGTAGACAATATCAATAGCAGCCGAAGTTTCAAGACAGTTCTTGACTTTACCTTCTCCTTGACCAGTCATGAAACCAAACTTTCATGTTTAAAACCACAGGATAAAGTGTAAATATCCAGATCTCAAACTTTTTCTAATTTAAACAAAACAAACTTCACTGGTCCCTAATCAGATTGTCACATAACATCGCAATCTTGCCTGGGATTGTAACAAGTTGTATTCACTGGGACTAGATCAGACCAGACATACTAGAAACATAAGAGGGTATGCATCAAGCTGGCAGCATATCATAATCCATGAGAGAAGGAATGATTACTCTAGTCTGTAAAGCAGAAAGTGGGGAGAGGAAGGAAGAAAATCAGAAGTTAATGGCCTAGTTCATTACTTAATGTGGACTACAAAATTCTGTCCAAGGTTGTCACTAGTCAAATCAAGTCTGCTGTGGAGCTGGTGATCTATCCAGACAAGATCTGCACTGCACCCAGCGGGAGGGACACTTGCCTCCTCAGCCCTAACCAGAAGGTGGCCTTTGACAGAATACCTTACACTTACAATATGGATGTGAAATCTAAAATGGGATTTGTGAACGTAATCTGCAATTGGACCGAAATACTCCATGCAAACATCAGTAATACACTTTCATCCAATAGACAGGTTTTGGAAAATGTTCTAAACAAATTTGGAGTCAGACAGCAATGTCCTCTTTCTAGTGCCTTGTTCAAGAACTGTATCAAATCTTCTGCTGAGTTCATCAGGAAGGGTACAGCATAAGAATGGTAACAAACACAGTCAGTGGACTCAGTCATGTCAAAGCTTCCCTGAATATGAACAATGTCATCGTTATCTGCTCAGATTCACTGTCAGTTATCAGATTTATGAGCAGTTAAAACTAGCTTTAGGAACCAAAGTATAACACAGCCCTGTTCTTTGGGAACTGGGTCAACTGATCATTTGACCTCCTCATCTTCAGTTCAGGCTCCCGGAATATGCTGATATGGCTCAAATGGGCTGTGGCAATGAGCATACACCCAAAGAACATATACCCAATTTGATACATAAACTGAACATGTGAAAGCTTGCAATTAGGAACCAAGACATCAGATGCCTGGTGCTGTTGGAGTGGTTCGACCTGGTGCAGGTCTGGCCCATACCCTACTCCAGTGCCACGGTAATTAGTTGAGCTATCTTCTACTTAAATGGAGATCAAGAGTGATTCATGTCTGCTGGACACAATGTACAAATCCCTAGATAAAGTGGTAAAGCATACTCAACACAACGCTCATGATAATTATCACCTTTGTGTACAGCTTCAACAATTGTGAGTGAATCTTTAGTATACAAATATCATGTGTCACTTTGTGCTGAGTTTTTACCTGTCCCCAATTTTGCATAGGATAGCCATGTACATCACCAGGGAATGCTTCATTATTCAGTTGGACAATGCCATATTACCAGTCTCCCATGAAAATGGTTGCACAGAAAATCTGCTTTGCCCTCCAGGTAGTGGTTGGTATGTGACATCAACAAGGCCCTGTGGAAAAAGAAAATGGTGGATCCTGTTGGATTATTCTCTGAGCCAACTGTCAAACTCATTTGGCAGGATGCCTCATCACCAGAACTTTTAAACGAAGACAAAGCTTGGATGGAGTGAGAAGGGACTTCCCATCAGATCCTTCCTGCATGCCGGGAATCTCAACCCCTCCACATGTTACCCTCAATGTGGTTGCAGTATGCTTACTTTCTTCCTTCTGGAATGCACCTTTGCAAACCAGGGTCAGAAAGAGATGTAATGATTTTTGTCAAGGTTCGTCAAGAGCAGGCTCCATAACATAGGATTCTAAATTATACAGGTTGTTTCCCGAGACACACACTTTGATAGAATAATCAACTCTAGGAAAGGAGCTCTTTGACCTGCCTGAAACTCTTGATTTTCAGTGCAAAGAGTCGTCAATTGCTCAGTGTTATGGACTGACACATTTCAAGGTGCAGAAACACACTAAAGCTTGGGGTAACCACCTTCAAGGCTCAGTGGAAAAGGCCACAAAACTGGACCTGCCTGTCCTAATGCACCGAGGGGCTAGAAACTGGGTGAAGCTGTATGCACGAAAGAATGCTTCGCATGTAATGCAAATTGTAGTGTAAATATAACCTGTATTGACAACTGTAGTGAAGCAGCTCATGTACTGTGTTGAAAGAAACGGATCTGTATTTCACTTTGCATCATGATAAATTTGAACAGGTACATAGCATACTTTTACAAAGTTTATAAATAAAGTATATTTTTGGGAAAATAGTTTTTGGGATCCAGCAGCCTATAGCACCAGTCAATAACAAAGCTAAATTCATACTGAATGGACAGTGAAAGTCGGAATGGTCCTTCACTAGGGACAAAATACGGTATATTGTTCAAATATTCAGGCTTAAAACTAGAGATATATTTTGTGTTACTTGATGAATTGTGTCTTTTCTCAATTTACTAGCAGAATTTGTCAGTATTTTAAATTTACCCGCTATTTGTGTGATTAAGTGTATATTTTTAGCAGAGCATTTGCTAAGCTCATTTGTTAATATCCAAAAGATTCACTTTTGCACTGTTTAGCAATCCTTTCAAGATAAATGTTCAGAGATAGTGAGAACTGCCGATGCCGGAGTCAGAGATAATACAGTGTGGAGCTGGATGAACACAGCAGGTCAGGCAGCATCAGAGGAATAGGAAAATTGACATTTTGGGTCAGGACTCTTCTTCAGAAATGGGGGAGAAGGAAGGGAGCTCCGAAATAAATAGAGGAGGGATGGGGCTGGGGAAGGTAGGTGGGATGGTGATGGGTGAGTGCAGGTAGGCAGTGGTTGGGATTGGTCAGTGAGGTGGGAGGAGCGAAAAGGTGTGAGAGAAGACGGACAGGTCAAGGAGGTGGGGATGAGAGGAAGGCTTGGTCATGGGATGAGGCCGGGGATGGGGAGATTTTGAAACTGGTAAAGTCCACATTTTGGCCATTGGACTGTAGGCTCCCAAGGTGGATTATGAGGTGCTGCTCCTCCAGTTTCCGGATGGCATCACTGTGACACTGGAGGAGGCCCAGGATGGGCATGTCACCCAGGGAGTGGGAGGGGGAGTTGAAATGGTTCGCGACTGGAAGGTGTTGTCGTTTGACACGAACAGAGCACAGGTGCTCTACAAAGCAGTCTCCGAGCCTCCGCTTTGTCTCACCAATGTAGAGGAGGCCACATCGGGAGCAGCGGAGGCAATAGACCACATTGAAGGATGTACAGGTTCACCTCCCCCACCACTGCTGACCTGAAACATCAATTCTCCTACTTCTCTGATGCTGCCTGGCTCCCGAGATAAACGTTCATATGTTTTATAATGACACTTGACATTATCACTCCAAAGAAGATATCATCATAGAATCCCTACACTGCGGAAACAGG